TGGGGGGGGGGGGGGGGGCAGTGAGCACGGTGGAACAATCATATTGATGATGTCCATCGCGTCACATCTATTCAAGAATTTACGTATCGTTCCGCCTCCCGTTCAGACCCTCGTCTCCACCAACTACTTCGGGATGTGCAACAGCCCCCTTCTTGTCTCATCTCACTCCTTACTCCCTCTCCTTCTCTCGCTCTCAAAACAAAACAAAAAAGTACCTGCTCTCTCCCTGTCTTCTTCAGACGTTCCTTCAACCACCTCTACTCCCTCCGCGCAAATATCGATGTGCCCCTGTGCAAAACGCTCTTTCCAACTTCGTCGTCTCTCTGCCCCATGAAACCCATTCACGCCTTCAAGGTCAGCCGAAACCCGAACACAACAAACATCCACGATACCCGCGCGCAGGATCTACTGGCTCTTTGACGCCTGGCCGCCGCGTAGTCCCGCCATCTAACCTACAGTATTTCATGTTGTGGTACAAACCCTGCCCTGCTGTCGTGTACAGCGCAAGGGTTGTCGAAAGGGCTCATCTCATCTTACACGTGATTTTCTTTCCTCCACAGACTATATATGTTCTTTCCCCTCCCTGATCGGCTGCCGTATCCCATCTTACCAGAAGGATATCCAGACACTCCCTCCGACCACGTGAAGTCCCACCGCCGCGGCGTACGTCACGTACTCGTACCATCGCGTGCCCCCCGAAGCGGCACTGCCAATAAAAGCACGCCGCAGCACGATACAAGGAAAACCCGAAACGAACGTTCGTGATGTGATCAGCACACGGTACACATAGCGTAAGCACGCACACGAGCCAATGAAAATTGACGGACCAAGCGGGAGCGTGGGAGGAGGGATGCAAGCGGTTTTCTGTGAGACGTGTCGAGGGCAAGAGGATCGGGAGGGGCGAGGGCAAAAATTCACAGCTTCTGTGTCCAAGAAAGGAGATCGTGTGTGGAAAAATAGCAAACCATGCGAAGATGCGATAGTCCTGTCCCATATTGTAGGAGACCGATTCGACGTCGAGCCTGTACGGTGACCAGCGAAGGCTTGTGACGGTTTCAACAGCGTGAGAACGGCCGGCTTGGTCGACCAGCTTGGCCAATCAACGATGTTATTTCACCACGCGAATAAACGAACAGCGCGAAATATCGGTGCGAAAGCAATCCGCTTGCGACCCACAACTCCCCCCCCCCCCCCCCCGGGAAAAGCGCGGTCATGCTAAACCAAAAAATGTCTACCTTCTTCGACATTGAGCAAGGGGTCCCACAAGGTTGCACGCTGTCCCCAACATTGTTCCAGGTGTTCATCAACGATCTGTTGGAAGTCGTAGAGGCAGTCCGGAAGGGAGTAAAAGTAGGGGACACGGAAACTTCGGTGTCAGGAATGCTGTTTGCGGATGACTTTGTTGGTATGTCGGACACCCCTGAGGGACTGCAACTGCAAATTGACGCGGCGAAGAAGTTTACTGATAAGTGGAGATTGTCTGCCAACGTTACGAAGAGTGCCGTCATGGTATGCAACGAGGGCAGGGAGGAACCAGTAGAACATAGATGGAAGTGGGGGATCGAGGAGATTGCAGTAGTGGACCAGTACACATACCTCGGAGTAGAGATCGCAAAAGATTGCTCGTGGAATGCACACATGTCCAAGGTAGCGGAAAAGGGCAAAGCACGAGCAGGGAAGCTGCACCCAATACTCGCAAACCGGCACCTTGATACACGCATCAAACTGACGGTTTTGAAGAGCGTAATCGTACCGCCGCTGGAGTACGCCGGAGAAGTATGGGAAGGAAATAAGAAGGTAGTGAAAGAACTCGAGGCGGCGCAGATGAAAGCAGCGAAAATCATCCTAGGATGCTCCAAGCGCACAAGTAATGCAGCAGTCAGGGCAGAATTGGGGATCCAATCCCTACGGTCGGGAAGAGACGTAAGGAAGCTGACATGGCAGTACCGCATGTGCGGGATGGGAGAGGAGAGGTTGCCGAGAATAGTATGGGAGGCGAAGTGGGCAAACAAAAAGAGGGGTAGACAACCCACGGAATGGGTCAAGGTTGTAGAGGACGTATGGAAGGGATTGGACATCGACGAAGATGAAACGCTGGAAACGGAGGGTCTACAGGGGTTCAAGAAGAAGATATCTGTTGCTTGTGCCGAGAGAGAAGAACAGAATCTAAGGAAAGAAACCAAGGATAAGGAGGGTCTACAAGTGTACGGAATGTTGAAAGAAGGAATAGGGTTCAAGGATTACCTACATGGACCAATGGATGCAGGGACAAAGCTTAAGGTCAAATTCAGGACCGGGGACATAGGCCTTCGCGAACGTCGACGAAGACATAGGACGGTAGACGACGAAGACGACAAGTTCAAATGCGATTGCGGCTTCGAATGCGAAGACAGTGTTCATGTAGTCGCGGAATGTCCGTGGTACGAAAAGGAGAGGGAAGTGTACATGACTGAACTGGGAAGAATACAAGGGACGTACAGGGAGATGTTTGAGGCATGGAATAGAGAGGAGAGGACGGTAGCGGTACTGGGGAGTAGAAAGTGGTTTGAAAAAGCGGGAAGTGACATCGGTAGGATAGAAAGACTAGGAAAGACATTTTTGAGCCACCTTTGGCAAAGTAGGAAGGAACGATTGACCATCGGTGATCGGTCCTGTGGGAACAATGCTCCGTCCTCTCGAGGACGCGTGGTCAATGGTCTAACCGCTAAGGCATGCAAAGCATAAGAGTACGCCCCCCCCCCCCCCCCTCCCC